ACCTCACGCCGCCGCCCACAGCCACCTTCGCGATGTTCCCGGCCTCGGAATGATTGACATCAACGACCCTAACCGCCCGAGGCTGGGTTGGAAGGCACGTATCCACCACTTCACCTGGGCGTGGTACACCCTCACTATGAGCACGGGAGGTCTTGCTCTTCTTATCTTCGCACAACCGCATCAGTTCCCCGGACTGAGGCAAATCGGTACCGTCGTCTATGTCATCAACATCATCCTCTTCGTCCTCGTCTGCTCTGCCATGTTGACAAGATTCTTCCTCTACCCCGGAGACATGAAGAAGTCCCTGACCCACGAGCGTGAGGGCTTCTTCTTCCCGACTTTCTTCCTGTCCATCGCCACGCTCATCACCAGCACGAACCGATATGCCATCCCCGAGAACGATGAGACTCTCGTCTGGGCCATCCAAGTCGCCTTTTGGGGTTACCTCATCGTCACGCTCATGTTGGCCATCGGCCAGTACAGCTTCGTCTTCGCCAGGCACAACTTTGGCCTTCAGACCATGATGCCGACCTGGATTCTTCCCATCTTCCCCATCATGCTTACTGGTACCATTGCCTCCGTCATCGCCGACACCCAGCCCGAGATCGCGGCGGTGCCCATCGTCGTTGCCGGCCTCACTTGCCAAGGTCTTGGTCTGTCCGTCGCCGTTCTCATGTACGCACACATGGTCGGCCGCCTCATGTCCGCAGGTCTTCCCCACCGCGAGCATCGCCCTGGTCTGTTCATGAACGTCGGTCCCCCGGCCTTCACTGCCCTCGCTCTCATCGGCATGGCCAACGGACTGCCCAACAACCTCGACCCCGACCGCGATGGAATCATCATCGACGCTGGCATCATCAGGACCATTGCTCTCATGAGCGCCATCTTCTTGTGGGCCCTGGCTGCCTGGTGGTTTGGTATCGCTACCATCGCCGTCATCTCATCTCCGCCTGTCTACTTCCACTTGGGTTGGTGGGCCATGGTCTTCCCCAACACTGGTTTCACTCTCGCCACCATCACCATCGCCAACCAACTGGGCAACGAGGCCGTGAAATGGTTCGCAACAGGAATGAGTGTCTGTCTACTAGGAGCTTACTGCTTCGTTCTGTACCACCACATCAGGGCGGTCGTTATCCAAGACATCATGTACACCATGAGAGACGAGGACTACAATGACCACTGAGCAAATTCACGGCACAGCGGAGTAGAGAAGAGAGAGGGGGGCTGTTTGGGACACGGGTTGCCTGCGGCTCGATCGCAGGGTTCATCGCAGTACGCGCTTCCGCACACGGATTCGTACTTGCGCAGTCTTGGGCCAGGGTTGGCTCACTGTTCATGCTTCAATGTTCATAGCGCCAGACGAATGTCTGGGAGGTTTCTGGCAATATTTCCGCTCTGGCCGAGCGAAAGGAGTTTAATCATTTTTGGGGCAGCATATCTCATCAGCGTGCAAAAAAAGCAGCGCGCACAATTCCAAATTGGATTCTTTTTTCACTTTTTTGAAATACCCTTCAGTCTCTACCTGACTATTTCCCTTTATCTCTCATTTTTCTCATTGATGTATCTCACGGATTGCATTCATACCATCACACATCACGGCGGGCATTGGGGGAACTGGCTTTTCTTTCCATAGACTTTTCACATAGAGATCGGACGGTCGAACAGAACACCTTTAGAGGAAACACTCGACGAGTACCCCAGATAAAACAAAACTTTGCTGCTCGAGCGCTTCTTTGCCTCCCATCCAACTCTCAGACGTGTCCTCTCCCCCTCTTCTCCTCCTCTTGTGATAGGACAACCAGCCGACTCAAGCAATCAGAAACGTCGTCTTCTCCCGCTTAGTCAACAACTCGCCGTCCATGACTCCATCGCAATATGCCTCCCCTACGAAACAGTACATCGTCCCGTCTCCGGACGGTCTCAGGACGTACGGGATCCGAGAGCCGAACAGTATCACCACCACGTCGCCCGGGCATGCCTCGCCCGGACCCATGCCCACGTATCCCTTCTGCGTCATGTATGGGCGCTTCCCAGTCATTTTGTCCATATTCTCACTGTAATTAGACTGCCCCGGAATTCGTCTGCTGAACTCGTCCAAAAGCTGCTGACGTTCCTCTGGGGGAAAGACCTCGAACGTCAGGGAGAGCATCTTGTGGCAATGCATGCAATCCTCGTAGTCGCTTCTGACGGCTGGATCGGGTCGTTGGTACCTGTAGACAGCCCCTTCGTTCCAGTACAGATCTGCCACGGGCACCCGCCACATGGCTTCTGCCTGCCTGTCACCATTTTCGTAAATCTCGTGGCTAAACCCCTTTGCAGCTGCCTCCTCACACAAAGTTTTGATAGTCTGGAGAAGCTTATAGCGGCATTCTTGGCCTTGTTCCCACCTCCACGCGTCACCTGTTGTTTCGATGGTGTCAACGAGGATACCACGAATCCCGAGCACGCCGCGATTGTCCGTGGGCACAAGCTCAGTCGAGGTCTCGCCTGAAGCCTGCAAAATGCGCTTGTCTGCATCCTCGAATGCGTACAAGTAAGAATGCTCTAGGGTCGGCCTCCAGTCCGGAACCCAGGATGGTAATCCTTCAGTGTCCTTTGGGGACTGCGAGAATGAGAGCATCTCCAGACGGCCAACACGAATGAGAGCATGAGCTGCGTCGATGAAGGTGGGTCGGCTATCCTCGGTGACATAGTCTGGCGTAATCCCTAATTTATCCGCATCATTGGCAATACTGAGCAAACCGTAGATTCTATCTCGAATATTGGTCACTTGGGCGGCCCCATCGACGTACGCCTTCTTCAATACGTAATAGAAGTCATCTCCCGGTCCTATGCCCTTCACGAAGTTCCGGCGCCTACGTCTCAGGGACATCAAAGGACTCAAACGTCGTTGTTGGGCCTTGAGCAGAAGCTGCCTGAACTCGCTGGTTTCAGTCGGCACGCTGAGCGTTGACATGCACCCGTCCCAGACGAGAGTAGCGAGAGGAATCAGGTCCAGTCTTACTGTCTTATACCCGCAGAGGAAGAATGGGTCGGAACCGAGAGCTTGCTCTTGGATGATCCAGACCCGAGTGAACCACACCCTCTCGTTCCAGGCAATCATCTCGTGTAGGAGGGGTCTGAACTTGGCCACGGCTTTGGCCATTAGAGGCTGATATTGCATAGTCACTGGGTCTTCTGGGTTCTCGTTTCTCATGATCCTGTGCAGCAGCGGCAGTCGCTCCTTGGTGAGGTAGCTCTCGATGTTGAGGTCAGCAGCCTCTTGTCCAATCTCTTGCAAACACTCCATAAGGGCATCAGAGTTGTTCTCTGCCGGACCCAGCCAGACGATGACCTGTTCTGCTTTGGTGTAGATCTGGGTCATGAGGGCCACCTGATTTCCCTTCTCCGCACCATCCTCCTGGTTGATGCAGATCTGGTCGATCCAGAGCGTGACGGGCTCATCTTTACGACGAATATGTCGCAGCGCCGTGTCGAGCGAGGCCGTGATGAGCAAGCTCGCACCCTCGATGTCAATGCTGTGAGTTGCTCTCGATGTGCCCCAGGTGTATGACAGCGCTTTGTATAGCCGCGGCGTGGCGATCGGGGTCGTCGAGAGAGCGCATTTGAGAGGGTTCGAGTAGTGAGACGACGCGTTGTCAGAATCACCTTCGTCTGTATTACTGGGTGCTCCGGACGCGGATGCGGATGCGGCGTCAAATCCGTGTGTCGATGAATAGAGTTCGAGAAGTCTGATGTGAGTTGATGCCGAGGGAAGGATTACCTTGTCGTTTGTATAGCTGAATTCATCAATGTTTTGCTGATCCGGCAAAAGCGGCACGGAAGGCATGGTTGCCGTCATTGTTGGGACGAAGGCCGCGGCTATTGAGGCAAACACAAGGGAAGCCCATGCACAATCAGTAAATGGTGTTTATCGGCAGGGTCCTCCCTTTATGTGCTGCCGTTACTCCAAAACTGTAGGGCTGCTAGCTCGTCGACTGGGGCCTGTCTCTTAATATTTCCGCATCTGGCTTTCAGCTGGTGACTATTGATTACGCTACTGCAGGACATGGCCTATAACGAGTTTATCCATTTCATCAATTCGAAGCCTTGCCGAAGAAGCTGATTATGTGAGCCCGAGCCAGACGGGAATGTCCCAGTCATTCCAATCCCGTGTTGTTGTTGATCACGGCCACTGCTATGGAACTTAGAATGACGTTGCATGTGAATTGCCCTATTTTGAAGGCATGAGCAAATCGAGCCGGCATGCTCATACTTCTGCATAGATTTTGTGACGTTTGTAGACATATCTGAAGTTAAGTGGTTTTGCCTGGTTTCTGCGGGACATGCAATTGGTAATCGAGGATTTCGATTCCTCATCTGGTGGTGATAGGCCATTGAAGGCAAGGAATTTAGTAGACCACACATCAACTTGTGAACAGACTGATCTAATGCTATGAGTATTCGCCGCTGTTCCTGATTGAAAGATCTTATGCAAGAGAGTTCTGCTCGATATTTATGCCACCTCATCAAAAGTCGGGTGGGAAGAAATTTGCTGCAGATAAGCGCTAGAAAAGCAGCATTGGTCAACGGAGACAAGGTCGTGACCCTGTCATGGTCTACTAACTAGAAAAGCTCGAAAGATTGGTTGGCTTCACCGTATGGGCTTGAGTTCGGAACAGGCTGTGTCTCCCATTGTATCGAAATTTGCTTGGGACGCGAACTTGATTCTGGTCGGTATTCAGAAGGGCGAAAATGAACCAAGGATGTGCTTCTCGTCTACGATGAAATGGCCTGTCATCAGCTAGAATCATGTAGTTATCTGAGTAGATGGAGAAAACCGAAAAGAAACACGATCGAAGCATTCTTATAGCAGTGTCATGAATTCGAGGGAAGAGCTATCTCGAAAGAAATTGGTGCCAGGTTGTGGATGTCCAACCAACGTTTTGCTAGGAGACACTTCAATAATCCTGCCTGCTCAAGTCCGCTGCCTATTTGATCAAGCTCCATCCAATCCCCCATCAAGCCTCGTCAAGCCGTTGAATTCCATGTCGTTGAAGCATAATCCTTGCTAGTACCTCCGGATGCAGGACCATTTCCTTGACACTATCAAGGGTCTCGTCCTCCAGCATACTTCGCGTCCAACTAGTTCCCGCCAGATGCCCATCCTTCGGAAAGCCTCCTTCCAGAATACGCCGAATCCGGGTTGAGCTGAATGTCAAGGGCGTGGCATCCGCTGGAACGAAGCGAACCCAAGTTTCCGAGTCGCCAATTCGTCGGCAAACTTTGATTTTCCGTCTCTCGGGAACAATAATGTTGCTTCCGTGTTCCGTCTTCTTGTATGAACCAGCATCGTTTTCTGATATGCATGTTTCAGAGAGAGCGTCGGTGACTGCAACTGGTTCGTTGTCCGTGTCTGGGATGCGACCATCCACTCATACATGTTCTTGTTAGCGTATGTCTTCGTACTTTTAATTGTAAAATTGATCCATCTACCTTCATGTGGCTGTGTATTTGCCCCGACGGTCGATGTGGGTGAGGGTAGCACAAAGCGAGGCTTGCTGACAATGGTTCGCTCCATGTCCTCGACCATATCGTGCTTCGAGTCTGGATAGTCGTTTTTTGGATTCGCAGCTTTGGTATAGTCGATGGCATCCTCCCAGTACCCATATCCACGCATTCTCTCGAGTTGACCTCCAGGTTGAAGAAGATCAGACTCTCTTCCAGCATTGCTCAAGATAGTTCTGTAGATTCCGAAATCCCACTCAAACGGCTTGAATACACGCGTGGGAACGACATGATCAGGTCCTGCTACCTCAATGAACTTGAGATTGAAGCCGTCTCGCTTGACTGCTCCCAGAACACGACTCCACATGTCTTCAAACTTGAGCCTGCCACCGTCGTGAGTCCAGTACTACTGAGGCTCATTCGAGTCACCGTGCCAAAGTCGTACGCGGTCGGCCATGTTGAACATGAGCCATTGCTGCCTCCTTTCGGCCTTGCGTTCCAGTACTCTCGTGCTGACCGGATATACGACGGCAGCGATGACGTTGAGATCTTGGCTGCCTTCGAATGCCCGTCGGAGGAGACTGTAATGGCCCAGGTGCGGCGGATTGAAGCAGCCCGAGTATATGAGGACGTTGTTCTCCTGACCCCTCTTTAGCTGAGGTCTTCCTGGGGAGGATCTTGGACCGAATATGTTCGTGTGATGGCAGCCTGTCGTGGAAGGAGTCGGCTCGCAAAGACATGGTCCATAGGCATCTGAGAGGTACTGCCCTAGGTCGGCAGTCTCATTCTGTCTCTCGTGAGGATCATCATCTTGCAATGCCATTCAGGAGTTTGGGGTTTTGGCGATGGGATAAATCAGCTGCTGCCGAATCGGTGTGAAGTAGGAAAGGTTTTGTTTTGTGTAGGTTGCACTCCTCAACTCGACTCGAACTTTGTGCTGCTGGAAAAAACACGTGACTAGCGTTTACGTTTCCCGTTTGGCATAACTAAGGTATACCGAGTTTGAGACTACGTCAATGTAGAGCGGAACAAGTAGAGGTTGCTGATTTTGGTCGTAGAGGAGGGACCGTAGACTGCGTGAACAGACCGTGGCCGTGAGACGTGGCTTGCTTTGTATACTAATCATGAATTTGGAATAGTTACAGTTGAACGTTTCCTGCACATCATGACGGCTTCTCTGTGTGGGAAATGGGCGCAAAGTATTGTTGAAATTACATTTGCAGTCTCTGCTGAAAGTGACATGAACACACCTATAGGGCGATGCAGAGAAACGGCTATATTAAACAAAGCTTTCCCCTTTCACTCTTCACTGCACTTGATAGGTTTCAGCGGCGATATTGGTACACCTTTGTGCTTGTGATGAAGAAGTCACCTATGCCTTTACGAAGTAATGCAAAATGTATTTCTCAAATGGATTAGACTTTGTGACTGATAATAGTGATCCTGCAAAAAAGTTGTCAGGAAAGACATATTCCTAACCCAAGTTCTTGCGGCAATGGATTCAATACGCAGGCCATTGACATGATCAGATGCGGAATATCTACCTGATGGCTGACCCAAGGGCCAGTTTGTCATCAACATGTTGCTTACATCGACCTCAACCACCTCTCCTAACGAAACCAGGCCCAGGATGGCCAAAGTCCGGACGAGCCTAACAAGCTCAGCGTTTTGTTTTACTTGTGTTGGCAAGAAAGAGTTCAGCGTCAGAAGTCTGGGGTTGTGAATTGGATTCGTGACTCGAGGAATCTGAAGGTTGAGAAGAGTTCCGGACGAATATGTGTTGGGAAGAAGATGCTGACGTGATTATGCGTGGAACTCAGTAAATTTGTACAACTCGCAGAATTCAGTGCTCTGTAGTTAACAAAAGTGTTCGGAAGTCGTTGCCGCTTGTCAGCATCCCGCGGCCAAGACATTTCTAAGTTCATCATCGCAGCCTTTAATCTCAACTGAAAACCTTCACATCCTATGCTCCGCGACCGCAAGTGTCAAGCGTTTGAGTCCGTTGAGTGAAATTGATATAACTGCTCGTAGTAGAGGACTGTCATAGCTCCAAGCGAGTCTCATCTCATGAAAAGGCTCAATAGAAAATGAAACGATTGAGAATGAGACTGAGGCCGCCCCGGCGTGAGGGCCGGGCGTCCCACTGCGGCCCCGCTGAGTTCTGCACCGGTGGACGGACCACGGCGCTGACACGCAGGGCCTGGAAAGCAGTGGAAAGGACCCCGCACTCACTCAGTCACTGAGGTGTACAGTCATCGGCCGCTTCACTGTCCCGGCCCGAGATTCGCAACTCTCGAAAGTCCCGCTTCCGCTCTATTCTTCCAGTTCTACAACTCATCACAGGCTTGCTTTGACTCACTCTCTCACCCTCTTCTCAGTCGAATCATCAAACATGGCTTCACCTCTTAGAATTGGCTACGTGCCGGAGCACTTCTCCACGCCCCTCTATTTTGCCAAGGAGCACTTCGGCCTCGATGCCACCTTGGTTCCCTTCCCCTCCGGAACGGGACACATGATTACGGCCATTCGCGGCGGCGAGATCGACATTGGTATTGGGCTGACAGAAGGCTGGATCGCCGGCCTCGGCAAGGAAGACGCCCCCGGGGATGGCGGCTACCGTCTCGTCGGCACCTACGTTGACACGCCCCTCTGTAGGTTCACAAGGCCAACTTCTCAGAACACTACTGACATAGTAAACAACAGGCTGGGCCATCTCAACCGGTGCCAAGCGCCCCGAAATCACCTCAGTAGACTCCCTCAAGGGTGGCAAAATCGGCGTCTCCCGCATCGGCTCCGGCAGCCAGATCATGGGCTTCGTCCTCGCCGACCAGCACGGCTGGCTCACCCCGTCCACCCCGGCACCATTCTCTGACACGGTGATTCTCAACAACTTTGAGAACCTCCGCAACGCCGTTAACTCGGGCGCTGCTGACTTCTTCATGTGGGAGCACTTCACCTCCAAGCGCTACTACGACTCGGGTGAGATCCGCCGTGTAGGCGAGATCTACACGCCCTGGAGCAGCTGGAAGATTGTCGCGTCCACGGCGTTGGCCAAGGACGGTCAGAAGCTCGACGCCAGGATCAAGGATCTGTTTGAGAAGCTTGACAAGGGCGTGAAGCACTTCAATGAGAACAAGGATGAGGCTGTCAAGTATATTAGCACCCATCTGGATTACTCTGAGGCGGATGCCAGGGAGTGGCTGAAGACGGTCAAATTTACGGATGGCGTGGAGGGTGTCAAGCCCGAGGTTGTGAACAACACAGTCGATATTTTGAGGAAGGCTGGAGTTTTGGTGGAGGGTAAGGGGAGACAGCCCGAAGCCATGGTAGCCAGGGACTGAGCAACAAGTTGAATGAGAGAAAAGATTTCACGTTCATCAAACGATTATCTATTGCATCGTTTCCAAAGAACGACATTGGCCTCGGATTTCATTGTGTATAATCACGATGGGCTGCCATAAGAAAGGCAGATGCAATTGTCTTGACTCATGATTTACCAACATACTCTCGCAATGTCCCGACACTAATGTTAGGGTATCTACCACTCTCATCACCATTTGCAGTGATCGTCGACAGCGATTATTCGTATAGGCAGCTAAGCCTTCCCAGACTTGCCCTTCCTTCTCTTCCCCTTGCCTGCGAGGAGGTCGCGCTTCTCCTGCTTGCGCGTCTCCTTGTCTTTGGCTCCAATAACACCAGTCTCTGAGCCACACGGCCACTTTGCAAGCACGGCGGCCTCATCCTCCTCGCTCCACTCGCGCGGCAGCACAGCGAAGACAAGGTACGAGGTATGGGTCTTCAGCTCCGGCTCCGCGCGGTGGATAATGCGACCCTGCAACCACGGCTTGCCCGCAAATGGTCCTTCTTCTTCATCACCATTCGTGCCCTCTCCCGCTTGATCCACGTCCATGGCGTTGCCCGCCGGTGAGTCGTCTGTCGAGTTGGGGTCTGCCGAGTTGTGGTACTCTCTCGTTCTTCTCTCAATCTCGCGAAGCTTGCCGACTGCCTGGCCCACGTCGCGTGCGCTCGCCGCGATACCGCGATCGGGCTGGCTGTACCCAGCACGATCCCGGATGACGTTGAACTTCTTGTGTGAGATCTCAATCATATCGATATCCACCCATCCCAATTGTCTCATTGTGTTGATCGTTCGTTGTACTTGCTCGATGCAGGGGGAGAAGGTGCAGATGTAAACCGACTTCTTGGGATTTAGTGGGGAAACCCATTCTTGTGTCTCGCCTTCTGTGTCCTTTGTCGCTGGCTTTCGTCGTGACAGGTGGGGGAGGGCCTCCCAGGGAGCGGGTAGATCCAGGAACACCGACTCTGCCTCGGGACTTCTACCGTCCACCAGGAACCCGCCGTTGTAAACGTCTCGATGCGAGAGCTTCACGATGCCTTCCAGCCCGTGCGCAGTGATCTCTTCTTGCATCTTCAAATAACGGTCCTTGTTGAATTCGAAGCTGAAGACCTTGCCCTTTCGTTGAGAGTCATCTTCGGGGTATCCGCTGTAAACCGCACGCGCTGATGCGTGAGTGAAACTACCACTACCTGCGCCAGCTTCGATAATATGGGTACCGGGTCTCGCTCGTATGCGCTGAAGGACGTAACTATAGTCGGGGGTGTAGACGACTTGTGTTCGATGCGGCAGGCCCGCGGTCCAGAGTTCGGCTGTAGGCTGAAGAATGTGCACGAAGCCACTCGCGGCGGCAGCCGCCTTCTTAACCGGTGCGCTGGATTCCGCCTCGGCCTCATCTGCCGCTGCTGGTGTTGACGCGTCCGTTTCCTCTTCCTTCCTCTTGCGCTTGCGGCCTCTGGAGCCAGTGTCAACAATCGAGGCACGAATTTGCGATCCCCATGGTACGTTGATCAAGGTGGAGTGGGGAAATGAGCCGAATCGTGTGTTAAGGACTGCTCCTTCGGCATAGCCGTCGACCGCACCGGTAGAATCTTTGAGGATGAGAGGAACGAGGTTGTCGCGAGAGAGCTGCACGATAGCGATGGAATTGGCAGACGTCCTGGGGCCAGGCTGAAGGAATGGAGATGGCTTCGTCATTTTTGTGATTTCGGTCGCCATGCTGGCCAGTGATGAGCCAGACTTGATCGACCCTGAATGCCTTTCTGGACAATTGGAGTGGTGCAGGAAAGCTACCTAGCCAATGCAGGTCGTAGGGCAGTCGAGGAAAAACTTCGCGAGGCTGGATTGGAGAAAAGTTAGCTGTGGCTAAGCGCGGGGCAGCTGTGGCTGAGTAAGAGCTTGACCACTCAGATGTTGACACAGCGCCCCAATTGACTGCGAGGCTGACGATGGTGTCACACCGGCCATTTTTGATAGGTGGGCGGCTAATTGCTCCCTCCAACAAAGTCGCCGTCCCCTCCCTTCCCAATTGAGTGACTCAACCCTCTCAGTTCGATCCTTTGACCCGACCCTCTCGAAGTGACTCCCTACTCTCATGCACTCTGCCCTCCTTGTGCCTCTCTCCTTTTATTCTGGATGAATCGCCTCTTTAGACTCACCAGAATTTCCATTTCTCTCTCCACTCAGATACCCAACTTTCGATTCTCTAGGGCTTGTTCCTCCATCGCGACTATGGAGTCTTTAAAGGTGCACAACTCCTTGAAGCCCGGTCAACCGGTGCCATTTACACCAATCAACCCGGGCAAGGTGTCTTGGTATGCTTGCGGTCCTACTGTCTACGACAAGAGTCATTTGGGCCATGCCCGCAACTATGTGTCGACCGACATCATCCGGCGCATTATGATGCACTACTTCGGCGCGGATGTGAAGTTTGTCATGAACATCACTGATGTCGACGACAAGGTTTGATTCACTAGCTTTCCACTGGCACATCAGGCTTTATTGACCATTTCCTGTGGCATAGATTATTATCAAGGCCCGAAGACAACGTCTCCTCGAACTTGAGAAGCAGAAGAAGTACTCGGACGAAGAGCTGGCGAAGCTTACTCTGACAGCTTTCCGCGCATACGCCGAGAAGAGCTTGTCTCTGATCCAATCATCCGACCTCGACGAGAACAACTACCTCGAGCGAAGAGATAGCGCATATGGAAAGGTTCTTGCAGGTGGCACCCTGACTGGTGAAGGCAAGCCCGGCGACGACGAGGCCAAGACGAAGATGCACATCGCGAACATGGACGCTGCTGCATTTGCGATCAAGGACAAGAAGTTCTTCCCTGGAACCGATGAGGTTCTTCTGCCGTACCTCGACTCCCTCTATAAGGAGACCATTGATACGAGCGATCAGACCATCTTTACCGACCTGACCCAGAGCATGGAGAAGGAATTCTTCGACGATATGGACGCTCTCAACTGCCTGCGACCCGACGTCATTACGCGTGTTACGGAATATGTTCCCCAGATTGCGAGCTTTGTCGAGCGCATTGTGGACAAGGGATTCGCATACGAGTCTGACGGATCCGTATACTTCGATATCACAGCTTTCGAGAAGGCCGGAAACACATACGCCCGTCTGCGACCCGGCAACCGCAACGACAAGTCACTGCAGGAGGATGGAGAGGGAGCTCTGTCGAAGAACCTGGGCGAAAAGCGCAATGAAGGCGATTTCGCGCTGTGGAAGAAGTCCAAGAAGGGAGAGCCATACTGGGAGAGCAGATGGGGTCAGGGTCGGCCGGGGTGGCACATCGAGTGCTCCGTCATGGCCTCTGACATTCTCGGAGCCCAGATGGATATTCACTCCGGCGGTATCGATTTGGCCTTCCCTCACCACGATAACGAGCTGGCCCAGAGCGAGGCTTTTTACGTCGATAACACAAAGGGCGAGCACACGTGGGTCAATAACTTCATGCACATGGGTCACCTGTCAATCTCCGGTTCAAAGATGTCCAAGTCCTTGAAGAACTTCCAGACTATCCAAGATGCCCTTGCCACGACTTACACATCCAGAGGAATGCGCATTGTGTTCCTGATGGGCAAGTGGAACGATGGCGTCGAGATTTCCCCCGACATGCGCGCCCAGGCGTCTAGCTGGGAGGCAACTATCAACGTGAGTCTATGAGCCGTATCGTAATAATAACTTCTAAGCTAACGTTTCGGCAGAACTATTTCACCAACGTCAAGGCATATGTTGCGGATGCCAGCGCTTCTACCGATGGTGTCGAATCTCTGTCACTGTCAGAGAAGCCCACCGGAGGACTTGTCAGCAGCCTGGAGAAAGCCAAGGCTGACCTGCAAACCGCCCTCACCAACTCTTTCGATACCCCTCAAGCGATGCGTGTTATTCAGGAACTTGTCAGCGAGGCCAACAAGGTCGTTGTTTCCCAAGATGCAGAGGCTAACGTGCCCGCGCTCGTTGCCGTCGCCCGCTGGATCACAAAGATTCTTGGAACATTCGGTCTCGACGAGAATGCTACGGCGCCCTATGACGGCCTTGGCTGGGCTGCACCTGCGTCTAACGCAAAGCTTGACCCCAAGAATGTCGTGCAGCCGTACGCGACGGTGTTCCAGACCGTGAAGTCGGATGTGGAGGCGCTGAAGACTTCGGCCGATTCCGTTTCCGCCCTGTTGTCGCAACAAAACCCGGAAGCAGAGTACTCTACTTTGGCTGATAAGGGTGTTCGCGATCCTGAGCAATTAGCTCTGCCGTATCTGCGTGCTACCTCGAGACTACGCGACGAGCTCCGTCGTATCGTGTCATCAGTGTCTCCCGAGACGAAGAAGGCCATCCTGTCTCTTACAGATCGGATTCGTGACGAAGACCTTACAAATCTCGGAGTTTACTTGGATGACAGGCCGGATGGCAAGTCGTCATTGATCAAGTTTGTACCTGCCAGCGAGTTGATCGCGGCGAAGAACGAGAAATTGGCCAGGGAAGCGGACAAGGCCCGGGCCAAGGAAGAGGCGAAACGAGCGCGCGAGCAAGCGGAGAAGGAGAAGTGGGAGAAGGCGAAGCTTCCCCACACGGAGCTGTTTAAGGGAGACGAGAAGTACTCGGAGTGGGACGCTGAGGGACTGCCAACTAAGCTTAAGGACGGCAGTGACGTGCCCAAGAGCCAGCTCAAGAAGCTGCAGAAACAATGGCAGAGCCAGAAGAAGGCGCACGAGGAGTATCTGGTCAAGTTTGGTGGTAAATCATAGACAGGCCAGATTTGATGGCATCGACTAGCATTAAAAGCGAGTAATTCACGACTTGCAAAGCTAGAGGCAACTCGTGGCAGCATCACGCTCGTGTGAAGATGGAAGTTCACATTGGGGGATTAACAAAAGAGTACCCATATTCTCTCAGTGACAGAACCTACTCACAGAGCAGTCGTTTCCCACGATAAAGAGTCCTCATTCATTGCAGAACAGCGTATGTGCACAGAAGGGCGAGCTGGTGGAAGAGCTGGCATGAAGCTACATGCACTAGCTGTGGGAAGGGTGGACACTAGGACCCCTGGCGTCTGGACCCTTGCCAAGCCGGGGGGCTTCCGTCGATGCATGATCCCGCTGTTGCCAAGAACGGTGATCGTCTTGTGCCGGGCCATCGATGATCTGGCAGCTACCTTACCACGCGGGCCTCGGCCATCGAATCGATTCTTCACCAAGGCCTCTGGTATAAGATGTGCTGTGAGGTTGTCTGGAGGAGAAAAGCAATGTGACGAAACCACAGTCTCACGTTCACCCATAATGCGTAAGCTTCATTTGGAGCAGCATTCGTAAGATCAGCAGATTTATGAGGGCCGCGGACCAGCGGTCTACGAAAGCCTCACGCATGGCTGAGCTTGCTGCCGGGCGGATGCAAGTTTCCAAGGCACAAGTCGAAACCTTGGAACAACAATGCCAGCACCAGCCAACCAGCCAACCAATCACCCAACTACCCAGCCAGTCAGCCAAGCGGCAGCCCATCCAAGCTATCTTCTTGGACCCGGATGGCACCCGTCAAGGTTCCGTCCGCTCTTTGTCATGAAAGAGGGCCTGGAATCGTCGATTCAAGCGGTGAGGGGGGATTGGTTTGGAACTTGGACGATTCAGAGAAGAATAAACAGCTCTCGCCCACCTTACGAGAGCTACCCCTCATTCTCAGGGTTCCCCTCCCCCTATTCTTTGTAGAGTACATCGGATTGAAGAGTCTCTGAGACACCCGCTGCACGGAGCTTCCTGACACGTCATTGAAGAGGGACACGGACCTCAGCTTCACTCCAAGTTATGCAGGGTCGACCTGTCTTTTCTTCAAGATTAAACGTTATGTGGGCTGTGTATGCCGAAGCTGCATAAGAGCTGGAGACTGTTGGCTTAAACTTGCTCGATCCTGATGAGAGAGAGGGGCCCGACGGGGGCATCATTGTGTAACAAGACTCCCTATGGTAGCTCCAATGGGAGACACAGGGGGGGCGGCGGCGCATGGAGACCTTCTTTGCCGGTTAGCCGCGCGATGGTCAAGCTTTCTTGCCGCAGCGTCCCCAGTTGTTTTTTTTCGTCTCTGGTTCAGCCCAGCAGGGGTGGCTGACATAGTGACGCAGCTCCCAATGCCGAACTCCCCGGGCCGGCGGGGCTTGACCGAATCGGCTACAAGCGTGGAATTCCGGGCAACATCTCAAATCTTGAATCTAGCTTGATTGGCAGCGAACTTCAAAGGGAGGCTTGTGGACTATAACCTTTGTTTAGCTGTGTTCGTCCAGTGTTGTGTTGCTCAGTCATAACCGTTGGCTACTCTTGCTTGACCCGAGAGTTTGAATGTAAGAGTAGAGGAAAAGAGAGAGAGAGAACGAGAGAGGTGGGCTCAGGAGTCTAAACACCCCCTCCTGGGGCTCTCCCTCGAATCATAACCCGCAAAAGACACACGGCCGTGGAAACGCGGACAAAGCCGTCGTCACTCGTCAGGTCCCCCGACTCCCGCGAGAACGAAAGCGCTGCCGATGTGCCGAGCAACCCCGCCAAAACACATCCACGGCTTTACGTCAGGTCCATGTCGGGCAAGGCTAAGTCGGCAAAGAAGACGCCAGACGCCAGACGGTGGCTCGTCCAATAGCTTGCCTCTGAAGACGTGCCTTTCCTGGGTCAGAACTGGTTTCGATGGTAATCGAGCTAGACTAGACCCCTCCTGCCACCCCGCGCCGCGTCAAGGGTTTGATGCTTCAGCTAAGGCCTCCCGTCGGTTTCCCAACTTGTGTCCAATGGCTTCGCGAGCTAGAGCATGAATCGGCGGGACGCGGCCTCCGTGAAAAGTGGCAGAAAAGGCAGGCGTGGCCAGCGTTGACGGATGAGGGTCGAGGGGTGCTGGATCGACCCCTCCATCATGTCATCGGGCAGTGTGAATCCAGGGGCACAGGAAGGTTAAGGGGTTTTTCTCGAAATAGAGCAAGCTTAGATGGGCCCTTTGTCGATCACATGAGAGCTTGACCTGGTTGCTGGAGGGGCATAAGAACCCCTCAAGCTGCTCCCTCATTTTGGACTTGGGAGACCTACTACTTCACTCTCAAGCTCAACTACATCACTACATACCAATTGACTTTATACACCTACCCAACCCCACACCAAATTATTCAAAATGTTCGGATTCGGAGAAGCCAAGGAGCACCGTGACGCCGTCTATGAGGGCCAGCACGAGGGCAAGCTGTCCCACGAGATTGTTGCCGGTGGTGCTGCCTTTGAGGCCATGAAGCTCTTCGAGGACCGCCAGCGCAAGAACGGTATGCTCAATAACTTCCTTAAGTCACCCAAAACTCGAACTAATCATCATTCTACATAGGCGAGCCCGTCAAGCACCAGTTCGCCAAGGAGATGATTGCTGGCATTGCCGGCGCCGAGGTCGACAAGCTCTTCGAGACCAAGGGCCTGGACTACATCGACCGCGAGAAGGCCAAGAGACACGCTGAGAAGCAGGCCGAGCACCTGTACCAGGAGCAATACGGTGACATGGACGAGTACAACCCGTAAGCAAACCTTCAGATCATTCAATACACATCGAACAGGGACTGACAGATTGATATAGTGAGCGCCGAGGCCGCCACGAGCGCATGGACTACTAGATAGTGTGTGTATATTTTATCAACGGCCGGACAGATATACTATGACGAAATGAAATTCATTTGAAGAACTGAACAAACACTATTTTGTTGACACTTGAACTTGTGACATGCAAATTGGTATCTAAAGCTGCTAACATTATCCAAACTCGCTGGTTTGCATGCCACAGTAATCATATACTCACAAATCCTCCCACCATTCAATGCTTCAATCCAACCGGCAGGGCACTCGAAGAAGCAGACCCGAACTTCATATCACTACTGCCCCCAGTAATTTGTTCGAATAACCTCTCTCGCTCCTTCTGCAGCGCCGTGCGCGTGCTCTCCAACCTCTCCCCGCGAACTTTTTGCTCCCGCGAGAGACACATGTGTCGGTCCCTGGTCTCGTGGAGGTACCGACTCAAAGCCTGGGCACATTTCTCAATCGACATTCTCGACTTCTTGATCTCATCATGGAACGCCATGTCGGAGTAGATGTTGTCAAACAGCACATCTCCCATGAGGTTGCCGTGGTTGATGTTAATCGGCGGCAGGTCTCCGATGTACGGCGTCATCCGTTGCGCCTGCATCACCAACATCCTCGCTTCCTGCGCCGCGCTCTCGGCGCGCTGCAACGCACTCCGCTCCATCATGTCCGTCATCGATCCGCCGCCAAACATGTCCATGCGCGAGTGGCTCAAGGCGTCGTCCATGTGCCGCAACGAGTCACCCATCCTCTTCATCGCATCCGTAAGAAGGCGTATGGCATGCTGTTCAGCTTCGACTTTTGATCGGGTATCATGGTACTCGTGTAGGGCCTGTTCCGCCGACTGCTCGAGGGTATCCTCCTCGGGATAACTCGGCGTCGGGCCCGCAAAGATCGAATCATAGAGGCTATCCAGCTCGCACTGCGCCTCATCATGCCGCCTGGCTTCCACCTCAAGCGCCTTGCTTGCCTCACGCGCCTCGCTCAACTGCTCCTTCACGTTCTTGTTGAGCTCCTTTTCGCGGTGTTCGTCCTGCAGGACGTCAAAGTATTCACGCTCCTCGCGAGCGGCGCGCTCATCGAATTTGTCGCGCTTGCCGACGGCCTTGTGCACGAAGCGGCGCATGACGCTGTCGCGAAACTTTTCATGGTCCTTGAGTTCCTTTTTGCGGCGGCTGTCGAGGGCACGGATATTTCTGTCGGATTCTTTAAGCTGGTGGTCTAGGTCTGTGATGAGACGGCGTTGTTGACGGAGGTCGGGGATGGCGTTGTCTGTGTCTGCGAGGATGGCGAGGAGCTGGCGGTTTCTGACGGCTGCTTGGCGGATTTTGGATTCCAAGTCGGAAGTGGCCATGGTTTTATTGTCTCTGTGGGATAGAGAGGATGCAGCGGCTGCTTTTTGATACTTAGGTAAGGTAAAGGTACAAGAGGTATTATTGTTTGCGAACGGTATATAGAGTTCACGTATGAGAAAATGAAGTACTAAATAAGTATCGTGAGGGTATCGTGAGGTTCAAATATTGTGGCAAAGCCTCGAATAAAAAATACACAGGCGGGTTTAGGTTTTACTGAAGTTCTGGTTTTTGACGATGGAGTCAAAACACGAGAAAATCTGTCAATGACAAAAGCTCATGCCGGGGGGCTCTCTCCGAGGCCTGGGCATTATATGTTCGCCCGGCAATCCTTGGCAGACATGATGAATGCCCAACCATAGTCCCATCTCGGTGTTGGTTCGGTGGCTGAAAGGATCAAAGGTGACCATTCCCTCCAAGTCCCCAGCAACAGAGTCATAGCATAGCGATGGCAAGCGTGGCACCCCATGACATCAGACCCTCGCCCTTGAACATTATTCGGCCGGGTTGCCTCTGCGGTGCGGCGTCGCCCACTGAGTGCGGGGTGGGTAATCCCGTCGCGGTGGACGGATCAAAATAAGGGTCTGGTTTTTCTCTTGTCTTACCACCCAACCGCATTAGCAGGGCGAAGACTAAACTGAGAGGGCGGCGGCGAAATGGGGCAACACCGGGGAATGGGTGTGGTGAACTGGTGAAGGGGGAAATCAGTCAATACTGTTCCGGTTTGAACTATTGGGCTGTGAGCTGGGATCATCGGTGCTCGTAGAGTTGCGCCACAGACCGAGATGGCGGGAGAGGGAACTAGCCTTTAGAGTCTACACTCTTGTTCAAACCGAGCCACAGCGGATCGAGCTACTATTCTCTGTTGCCGCCCAATTGCGGCCCTCAATGTTAGTAATTTTTCCATTTACAAATACGGATCTTTCATGGAGAAGTTCCAAGTAGCCGCAGTTGGGAGAATCCGTTGATCACAAAGACTCTATTGGGATGGGGGAGGAACAGCCACACGCTAGACACCTGCCAAGAATCGAAGGATTCGGCGCCGCTGTGAAACTCGAGAGACCTGGATAAGACCTAACACGATCTAATCGCTTGGAATGATGCTGATGTTTGTGGCCAGTAATCACAAAAACAGCAGGGATCCTCGCCCATTGATCATGACACTTGGAAACTAGGTAGGACCTGGAGACTGACGAAGACAACAGAGGGGAAGTGGTTTCGGTGTGGCTGGTGCTCCTTGATCTGCTCTTTTTTTTTTTTTTTTTGCAAGCGGAGAGGCCATGAGTTCATGTTTTGAACCGACTGACTGGTCTGTCACCCATGACGATGACGATATGCACCACCCGCCGGACCAGCGAGTCTGTTGTTAATGGCATCGAGATCATAGCGATCTTGGTGACAATGTTCATCGGCAGTCTTTAGGAGCTAAGGCATGACGATGCCCAACGAACAACAGAAACAAACTGAAGAAAAAAATCAAGGCAACCCACCCAACACCGCGGTCAAGCCCGAAAATGCCCAATTTCATGCGCATTGACCTTGTGGCCCATCGTGAGAGAATCTTGCACGATGGAACAAATACCCTCATTAATGATATAGATGACCCAGATAAGTAGTCTCGCATGCCTCATGTTAGCCTTGCGTACCACTCACGACAGTCCTCATTCGAGGGTCTCCCCCCATTGCGCGACAGATACCTGAAGACCAGCGACAGCCACGTGGGCGAATGGCAGCTGATGTTGTCGATGCCAACGAGGCGGCGGGAAT